GGGGTTCCGTCAGGCAAATAGCCCACATCGTTCAGGAATTCCAAGTCAGCCTGAGTAGCTGTTGCAATTTACAAGAATATGCATTGTTGCTATTTTAGGCAGGCACTAGTATAACACCAAATACACAATAAGTTGACAAGGCTCTTTGTTCAACGTCTGGCACTTGTATGATGTATGCCCAAAAAACTATATATATATATATATATGTTGGGTCTATGAAAATACCAGTATTAGTGGATGATGATGGTTAGTAAAGGCCTTTCTCTAAAATAGATTGCCTACTGACTGTTACAGGTACAGTAGTAGGACAAACCCAATATATGTAGTATAGTATAAATATATACTAATGTTTTGTCTGTATTCAGTCTTTCTATTAGATGAGGAACACATACATGACATACAAGCACAACAAGCACAAAACAAAAAAACAAGTCTCCGCCCAGCAGCATGGGAATCCTTCTGCAAGGAGTATGGGAACTTGATGCCATGCAAGGCTTTCCTGGTCACCTTTGAACGCTTGCCCCGTGCCAAGACTCCAGCAGCTGCAGTAGCCATCATTGCGGTGCCATAGATGGTGGCGTCTCCCATCGCAGGTGCCGGGGTTGTCGCTGTCGCAGCTGCCGTCGTCTGTGGGGGGGCTGCGGCGGACGCCTGGAGGGGCTCAAAGATACCTGATCTCGAAAAGGTGTTGACTTCAATCTGCTACTGAAGACCACTCTAATACGCTTCTAGTTACCCTATGTTACCCTTATCAATCAAACGGAATACTTCTGCCTGGCCATTGGTGCGAGCAGGGACCACAAAGCCATGACCGGCGTCGATGGCTAGGGCAAAGCTGAGCGCAGCGACCTTCGACATTGGCAAAGCAAAGCTCCGAGTGATCACTGTGTCGATGGGGCAGCACAGCGCTGTTGAGATGTGGACTCCAAAGAACGTCATGTGCAAAGTCCACATGAGGCTCAAGAAACGATGTGCAACCATGCTCATGTGTTTGACTTTCAAGGTGAGCGAGGTCTGTGACCGTTGGTACAAGCATGCTCATTTAGTTGTGCATTTGAACAAGGATACCCCCGAACCAATGGGGGTTGGTCTATTTCTCTTCTTCCATGGTGTCGAACTGGGAGGTCTCCCTATTAACACACACACACACACACACCCACACGCACACACACACGCACACTTTGCGTTGGTTGGTCAGAATGGTCCACGTGCTTGAGCTCGCTCCAACTCTCGGCGTGGAGACTCCGTCAGTCCTTCTTCTCCAACTCCGTGAGAACTCGGTCCGCGGAGAGTCGGCCACCTATGCGGACGGCGGGTTCGGCGGATCTGCGACATCGACGACCGTCGACGACCGTCCACGTTGCCAGCGCCCAGCGCCGGACCCGACATGGCTGGATTGGACGCCGGTTTCTGCACGGCGTCCAAACATGTCCAAACAGCCATGATATAATGATATACCCCTGAAGACTAACATGGAACCTGAAAACCACTAGTTTGTAGAGGAATACAATCTTCCAGGGATCATGGTCAGGGTCCATGTTAGTTATCCGGAAGGTAGCAAAGACAGCAAAGTCCCCGTCGAGTTGGTTGGGATGCGAAGTGTGGATGTCCTTTCCCAAAGGACGATGTATGGGACTGACTAGCATAGTGGTTTCACGGGTTGTTTTTTTGTGCAAATCATTTGTAAAAAAACTGCACGTGTAGTTGTTCAATGCTTCCTGAGACGAGTGTCTTTCCAGAATGATCAAACCAAACCTATTGATTTCCTTCTATGACTATATAGGTGTCCCCCATCAATCTTCTGGGTCTGTACTTTAGTATATAGGGGGGAGTTAAGCCTATATTGATTGGGGTGCCCCTAATTATATACTACACCCTTGAAGAGACCCACATGGAACCTGAAAACCACTGGGTTGTAGATGGTTGTAGAGGAAAAGCGTCTTCCACAGGTCCATGCCATCAGGTTCCATGCGGCGTCGCCTCCCAGGCGCGCGACGTTCAACGGGACGTCCCAGGCCTCATCCACAGTGGTTTCAGAGTCAATGGGACAACCCTCAAGATGTGTTTGTTCGATGCCCATGAAACAACACCAAACTTGGGGATTGTGCCATCAAACCTCTCAATCCACTCTAATTCAACGAATCATACACACACCTCCTATCAACGGATTCTTCCGGTCCAACCACGCCTCCCAACTGGGACCTCCCAACTTAAGGTCTCCGCAGGGCACCAATTCTGAGGTCTCCAACTGCCACGCTGACCTCGCAATTCTGAGGCGCCGCTTGAGACTTGGGCTCAGGTGGGTGAGGAGTTCAAACTGTGGAATCTGTGTCAACCATCTAGATCCATGGTCGACGTCTGCAGCAACAGTCTGCTGAACGCTTGAAGCCCATCTTCAGACCCAAAGCCATGGCCTGAACAGGTGGCACAACTCGTAAGGGCCAAATCGGCTTGCTTGGAACATAGAGTAGAAACTGGTTTCCAACCGTTGGAATTTACAGCATGCAGCACGTAAACCATGGTAAACCCTGAAGAAAAGGGGACGCAATAATTGCACGCACATAACACATCATATCTGCACATATATGAAAAACACATATATAAATATATATGTGCAAATAGACAAATATAATATTGATATATGTGTATGCAAATAAAAAAAAACTTATATATATATATACAGTAGCATATACGATATCGGCTTCAAGGTAAAGCCAGCAAGCGCCATGAAGCATGAATCGTGTCTCGTTTTCTGGCCTCACGGACCACATCTTTGACCGACCAGCGTCCCCAGCGTCCCGTTTTCGCCTCCAGCCAGCATGAACGACCGAGCCGCGTGGAACTTCACCGAGCACGTAGCAAAACGACTCCGCAGGTGCGGTTGGAGTTAGGCCAAACTGCGCGAACACAGCTGGAGGCCAGGCCAAGCACCAGTTGGAAGCTGGTGACAGAATCATCCGAACGTCACATGCCAGATCGAAAAGGAAGGTGTTGACGAATCGGTGTCCCCAAAATGCAGCGCGCACACAGAACTTTTTTCAAACTTTTGCCTTGTCGGCCCCGAAAATCTCTGGATTTTCCAGTGGTAGGCGGACCTCACGTTCCGCGAAGGCTTTTAAGGCTTGAAGGAAAAATCGTTGGGGACATTAACCTTCCCACCCTACTCATGAACTACCCCTCACTAGTGCACCGCATTGTTGCCAGCCTTGTCGAGAGGCGTGCCATCAACAAGATATCCGATGTCTGCAGCATAGGCTGAGGGTGG